TTTTGAGGGATATCGTCAGACATACGTATATTTCAGTTTTCAGTCCTCAGTGTGAATCTCTTTTTAAACCGATCAATTCTCAATCTCTACCGTGTATTCTCCATTCTACACGACATTGGCGAAGTAAATTTGACCCAAATGGCACGCCTATAAGCCACAGAACAAAGAATATGTTCTCTATAACTACCTACTAATCCGATTTTGAAAATTCTTTTACAAATAGGAAGTTGAATTACCGACAATTGCTATAGCCTATTTTTTAAATAATTGTGAATCTGACTGTAAGCTCTGGCTTACAATAATTATTGAGACAATAATTGGTAACAATAATTGTTGAGACACCAAAACTTAGAGTAATGAGTTGCTTTATCGGCGTGCGCTGCCTAAAAAGTTTGAAATAGAGCAATAAAATGTATGGCAAAAAGACACCTAGGGACTCATCCGAGCAAAGTACTTTACTTTACTTTCTTAGTATAATAATAAAAACTACGTCTTTATTATAACAATAAAATGATAAAGTGTGAAAATGTGGCTCATTACCTACATTCTTTGAAAAAATGCCGTGTCTTCTGTCATTAGACTTAAGATCTAATTTATTACCTACCAGGCGTTATGTCGTGTATTATTAAAATTTTGATTTATTCCGTATCAAGTGCGTAATATAAAAATTTTACCTATTCAATTTTCTACCTTACATTAAAAAAGTTCTAAAATTAATTATCCTTACAAAAATGTTTTATGTATATTTTATTCGTAGGTAGATTTGTTCCATAAAGTAGGGCGATTTAGGGTAAGGTTTAAGTTTTAGGAAAGATGAATCAGAAATAGGTATAATAGACAAAATTGGCGATAATATGTCATATTTTATTAATATTTATAAATTCACTGGTGGTAAACGTTAATTTTCTTTTTAATACAAACTACTGATACCATTTTTAAAAAGGCTACTGATGTATCAATATCAGTTCCCGAAAATGTCCTGAATCCCAATCCATTACCAATTTTTTTAATAATTCGACATTAATTTTCCTTCTTTTTTTTCAAGTAGCATAAATGTTGTTTATTTACAATAACAGCAGGGCAGGTCTCAAATAAGGTAAGGGTGTGGCCACAAGGCCTTTGAGCCATTATGGATATTAATTGCTTTTTTAATGCTTGAAAATTTTGAAAAATTACCCATATCGTGCTTTAGTTCATATTAAAATCAGTAGGTATTTAATTTACATTAATGATTGCGTTGATGATTAAGTCAACTAACTGGTACCTATACATTAATATGTGTTGATGATAACTATATTTACAACTATTAGGTATAGTCTGTAGTATAATTATTATATTATAGTTTTATATTTAAAAATTATACTGAAATTATATATATAGAAAATATTTAAAGCAATCCCTTAATAAGGTAAATATATTAGATTTATTATGTCGTTGAACTTTAAATGTGTCGGCCGCATCTAAGTAAAAATTAACGAAATGGGATTTATATAAGGACTCCCCACCGCACCCCCCCCCCCCCCGGGTCATGGAGTTTACTTATACAAAAACAAATTTTTAGAAGCTAAATCACACTTCAGAAATATCTTTTTTTTTTCATTAAAATCTTAATGTAAATATTCCCACGCGATACCAAGCGGTTGCCATAAATATTACGAAATGATAAACGGCAGTTTCACAGATGTTGATATAAATTGTCTAAATTTTACATGGAATCGTTAGCAATTCGAAATCGCTTACTGTTTGATTGAAATTAAAAAGATATATGTTATTTATATTCTTCGATTATAAATGCAACAAAAATATTAGGTAATTATATAACAAAGAAAAAGTATATTATATTGTACTTCAACAAAATGTATCGGAATTAAAGTGGGTATAATAAATCTTGGTTTTCTCTAGCCTAAAATTACGTTAATTCGTTGCAAGCCAACGTTCGCATAATAAAAGTAAGCATAAACAATATACATATATAAACAAACCACCGACACACCCTCCCTTTGCTTCGGTTTCGTCCCTAGGGAAAAACAAAAACAAATCTATCCCACGGTAACTGTACATTTTTCCAGGATAACAAGTAACCTATGTGTTATTCCAGACTATAATCTAATCTGTGCCACATTTCATCCAGATGCGTTCAGCTGTCCTGGCGTGAAAGAGTAGCAAAAATCCATCCATCTTTACAAACTTTCACATTTATAATATTAGTATGGATTGTTTGTAGAGCAACAACTTTTTCTATTATTTAAAATAAAGTTTAACTCATTCGTAAACACATATTTACAAAAACACAAGTACTACGAGTATTTACAAAAGCGAAATTCTACGAATGCATTTATTTTTTAAGTCAGTTTGTTTGGTACGTGTTAAAGACAAAATTTTGGTTCACTATAGAAATGAAAACAAACGCATGTTGGGTCTAAAATTGAAATAACTAATCGCTGAGTTTTATACGTTGTTTATTATTTTAACTGCGGTCTGTGCTATTGCAATACTTGTCGGCTTGTTGCTGAATATTACCATATGTTGGAAAAACTCAGAAATTTCGCCATAACATTTGATTTAATGTGCAAATATTATATATATAGAGATTGCTCTCAGTCCATTTATATATATGTATATATAATATGCTTCTAAATTCTACCCAATTTATTTTCAAACCAGGAAACCAATTCGCATATGGCATCGTGTGGTGTTTATACACAGACATTACCACAGAAATCTTAATAATATTACCTTATTATTAAGATTTCTGTGGACATTACATATGTTGTCTGTGTGTTTATATTAGAAATGGTACCTACAATATAATTACGCTACGTACTCGCGTAGCTAATGTTCATCGAGGCACTAAATTAAAAAGAAATCTCAAGAAAGTTCTCTAAAAGCTCTAACTAAAGTTTTTATTCTAAGAAATATGCTTTCATTTTGAGTAAGTACTTTCTTTGAAAGTGATGTTGACGTATCCATCTTACAATTTTGACAAATGTCTTTACCTATGTATATCTATGTACATGTTTAGATTACTTAAAAAATTATAACAAACACATTAAGCAATTTTTAAGTGTATTTTAAAATTCATACTGTGAAAAACTTGTCACAAAATGTCTAAGCAAGATCAAAAAAAGACATTCTTGAAAATCAGAAATCTAGCATAAAACAGTAATGGGATCAAAAGTTCGAGCTGAAAATGATCATTTCACCAATTAAATTTTAAAATACCGCATCCGTGAAATTGATAAAGAATATTTATAACAAAACAATGTATCTTAAATTTGCTTACAATTGGTTTGACAGATGAAGAAGTAAATTGACCAAAGTCATATAAAATAAAGTCGGAAACAGGCATACACGTAGCAAGACTCGCAGGAAGGATAAAACATAATTTGCCTATCTATATGTTATGTTCTTCCGTCAACTTGTTCCCTTTTATATAGTTCGCTTTATACAGTTGATTTTTTTTATTTTTATAATTTTATCTTTATTAATATTGATGTGATTGATAATTATTTTACATACCTACCTACCTTATCGAATTACTTATAGTGTTTAGTTATCGAGTCTTTCTGTATAGTAAGTCTTAGTGACAGCCCGGAGTTGGGAAGTTGGCGGTGTTTCACCCCCGTGCCTCGGAGAGCACGTAAAGCTGTCGGTCCTGCGCCTTAACTCTCACCGGTCCTGTCGAGCAGTCGTCCCACCGGAGTATGAGAGTGACAGGAATAGAGAGTGCACTTGCGTTTGCGCGTACACTTGAGCATTATAATATCTCCTGCGCAGTTGGCTAATCTCAATGAGATTGGCCGCCGTAGCCGGAATCGGCTAGGAGAACATCATCATCATCAGTAATAGGTATATGTATATATGTATGCACGTAGGACATATTTTCCATTCAAAATTCTTTTTTATTCTTCGACGAAAAGTCCTTTCTTTCCAATAATAATTTGTTTTTTTCAAGTAATTTTAGACTTTTCAAAGCAGTTCACAAGATTTATTTTTGTATATCTATTTGCCAGTTTGCGTATTCGCCTGTGCTAGTATTTGTGTAAGTACTAAGCGAAAATCGAACTTGCTACGCTTGGTCATTCCAACGTTTGTGCATTTAACACATACAAGTATGTTTCATCCGGTTAATTAAAACCATAATAATCAATATAGTTAAGTAACTGGAAACCGGTAGGTATATCCTTTAACTGCCATATACAAGAATTTTCCATAGCGTGTGAGGGTAAATTGATAACGAATATTACGCTTTTAAATCACCCACGTCCTTGCCCGTATATAAATTTAGTTTAGCGAGAAACAAGCGTTCTGTTTTATTCTTATTTAAGTTTTATAACGTTATGTATAGGCCATAAATTATGTATGCTTAAGAATGTAAAAAATTGCAATATTCTCTTGATAGTATTTTTTAGCTCTTTTTACTCAATCTCAAGGCTCCGCATGCTACTTTTTTATGTAAAATTGCAACGTTATTAGCCTATAAGAAAAAAATCCTTTAAGCTAAATGTGAACATGATTTTTATGTCTTTAATTTCAAATGTAGTCACGATTTTCATATACAAAAATATATAAGATCCTTTTAATGCTTTTGTTAAGATTTTTGTATGATAGAAGTTTGTTACTGAATTTTTGGACATGCCAAACCGTTAACAAAATATGAACATACACAACAGATCATGTCCGATGTTGTGGGAAACGAGTAAATATTTACAATAAACAAAATTACAAATATCATACAATCATACAATATAATTATATATACAAAACAAATGTAAACTTAGTTATTACTGTAGAAGTCATGTCCGCGTGGAATAGTGGCAAGAATGCTAGCCTAAAGAAGCTAGTTTTATTTTCGTCTTTATTGTAACTTTTACAACACTTTAGTTCTAAACTTATGAGTAGATACCTTTAAAAGAAATGGTTTAATAATTCTCGAAGGTGAGGTATATGGCTACTATTAAACTAGTAATAAAAAATATATTGGCTGATATATTTTTCAGAACGGAACCTTATTTGAAGTAGCCATGAATAACCTTCAGTGGCATGCACCAGCAAAATATTGCGTAGATATGATGTTTGACCATAGCGCACCGACTTCGAGACTGGTTGCTGGAGTTTGTTACCCTGACGACTCCACCTCACGGGACAGTCCAGGTCTCTACATCGCTTATGGTGTTGGTAAGTTATTATGATTTTTTCAATGTTTGATATCCATGGATGTTCTTTTAAATTCATTGGGAGTCCAAATCCAATCCGATTAATACTTTACCTGTGTAGATAAACATGAATATAATATTTAAAATAGGGAAATCTCGCGGCAAGCCGCAAGCTTTTATATCATATAAATAGTGTAATGTAATAAATTGTAGGGTTTGATTTAATTTAAAGTTTATTTTTAGAGCATTTAAATAAAAGCTTGTGTTTAAAAATGTTTTTTACTATTAATTTATTGCATAATATAGTCAATGCTTAAATTTTACGTCTAAATCTAAATCTTCATAGTTAATCTGTATGCTTTATTACCACTGAATAGTTACTAACCATCATGCTAGACTCTAGAGTGATAAAATTTTATTGCCTATTAACTTCAGCAAAGACTGTTTGTTATATTGAACATCGATAAATCAAATTAGTTTGTTTGTAATACTTTCTAAGAAATTCTAATAAAGAGCTTTATACATGAGCTTTTACTCAACTTTTTTTAGGTTAATAATTGTTGTATGTCTGGGTATTTTCTTTAGTTTAAGTTACTTTTTTAGTTCTAGCTTCAAAAACTGATAAGACAGTAGAGCTCGAAAGTAATAAGTAAAACTTCTAAAACGTAAAACGTCAAATATTCAGAACTAGCATTGAACGCGGCTCCGCCCGCGTTCAGATAACCAAAAACCAAATTCTTAGGTTTTACATATTAGTATACTCTTACATTGCAGTTTTTGTATTTTTTCTCAAAAAAGAGATTTTCTCGCGGTTAAAAGGTCCTATATGTTGACCCGGATAACCAGCTATCACCATACCAAATTTCATCAAAATCCCTCCAGTGGTTTTTCTGTGATGCGGTAACAGACACACAGACAAAAATTCTAAAAACTCTAGATTCGGCCTCTGTATCGATAATAATGTTTATTTCAATAAGGTTTTCCAAAAAATATTTATTGTACAGATTCAGCTCAGTTACAATTTTATTATATGTACTAGCGGCTAACCCTTGCTTCGCTCGGGCTTGCCTTTAGAAAAACACTAGAGATCTATTAGTTCCCACGGGAACCGTTCATTTTTCGGGGATCAAAAGTAATCTGTTGTTTGACTGGCAATATAAGGTGTCAGAATGTTAAATTTTACTAAATTAGGAGCATAAGTTGTTGTGTACTAAGCTGTATAAGATACTATAGTTTTTTAACTATCCCACGGGAACTCTAATTTTCTGGGATGAAAAGTATCTAAGATGTTGACCGGGAATATAAGATACCACCATGCAAATACCAGACAAACAGACATACAGGCAAACAGACAAACAGACATTTTTTTTAATAACTATTGTTTTGGGGTCTATATTGTGTACATATCACGTTACAAACAAACAAAAACAGATCTCTCCCACGGAAACCGTTCACTTTTCGGGGATGAAAGTAATCTGTTGTTTGACCGGCAACATGAGGTATCAGCATGCCAACTTTTACTAAATTAGGTGCATAAGTTGTTGTGTACTAAGCTGTATAAGTTACTGTAGTTCTTTAACTATCCCCACGGAAACTTTTTAATTTTTCGGAATGAAAAGTATCTTACTTGTTGACCGAGGATATAAGATACGAACATGCAAAATTTCATTTAAATCGGTCCAATAGTTAAGGAGATTAGCCCGTACAAACAGAGAACAAAAAAATCGAAAATAATCTGGATTTGTTCTATTTTTCTTCTTACGGGATGTAAGAAGATAACTGACTCGGTTTTTAGCATTTTTTCTATGTACAGACATTCGACCTCTACAGTTTTATTATATTTATAGATAGAATAAATAAGGTATAATAAAACAGTAATACTCGTATATAATAATGAAAATAGTTATAGCGAGTGTGCCTTAGGAGATAGACATATACTATTGAGAACTTTTCTATCGACCTTTTTAAGACTTACAATTTTCTTGTACAATGTTTTGATATATCTCTTAAGGTTGAGCCAGCATTAGCCATATAAATTTCTAAGGACAATTCGATAGAACATGTTATTGTGTTTTCCCGTGGGAATGAATAATTTGCCTGTCGGCAAAGGTATCCTAAATGTTGACCCGAGTAATAAGTTATTACTATACAAAATTTAGTTAAAATGGGTTCAGTACTTTTTGCGTAAAACGCGCACATGGATTTGACTAAGTAAGTTTTATTACAGATATAGATAAGAATAGATATTGCTTAGGAGATATACATAGACTATTCAGAACTTTACTGTAGGACTTTTCAAGACCTACAATTGTTTAGTATATCGTTTTTATGACTGTATGTCTTAAGGTTTAGCCAGCAGAAGGTTTCTAGAGAGGACTCGGAAAATCAATTATTGTATCTTCCCGTGGGAAAGAAAAATTTTCTTGAAGTAAAAGGTATCCTAAATGTTGAATCAAGTAATAAGTTATCACTTCACGAAATTTCGTTGAAATCGGTTCATTACTTTTCGCGTGAAACACGCTTACAAAAACAGACAAACAGACATACAGGCAAACAGACAAACAGATTTTTTTTACATATTGTTTTGGGGTATGTTGTGTACATAATACATTACAAATAAACGAAAACATCTATCCCACGGGAACCGTACATTTTTCCGGGATGAAAAGTAACCTATTAGTTATTCTGATGTATGACTTATATTATTGTAAAGTTTCAGCCAAATCCAATCAGTAGTTTTTGTGTAGTAAGCTGTATAAGTTAGTATAGTTTTATGACTGTCTCACGGGAACCCTTTAATTTTCCGGGATAAAAAGTAGCCGATTTGTTATTGTCATGTATGAACTATATTATTGTAAAGTTTTATTAAAATCCAATCAGTAGTTTTTGTGTACTAAGCTGTATAAGTTATTATAGTTTTTTAACTATCCCACGGGAACTATTTAATTTTCCGGGATAAAAAGTATCTAAGATGTTGCCCGGAGTTATAAGGTACCACTATGCAAAATTTCATTTAAATCGGTCCAATAGATTCGGAGATTATTCCGTATAAACAGACAAACAGACAGAGAAACAAAAAAAATGAAAAAAATCTGAATTAGTTCTATTTGTCTTCTTACATACGCATAACTCGGTTTTTAGCATTTTTTTGCTATGTACAGACATTCGACCTCTATTGTTTTATTATAGTATAGATTTATTATTTAAATTCTTATCACGTTTTGAAATAAGATACCCTTAATTATACAGTACCTAAGGTTGGCAATAGGGCAGTATACATTTATAGCTTTGATATCAATTAACATTTGCAAAACTAAATTATATTGCGTAGAATATAATCGTTTGCATCCGCTATCTTCTATCATCTATGAATGTGAATGGTTAACGATTATCCTATGTAAATTAAATAATAAATAACGTCAGCGATCATGTACTGTCATTGTTTCAATTGCATTAATTAATAATACAAAGTCTTTTACAGAAATTAATTGAGCTAACGATCTTCAAACGAGCTTCTTATTACCTATATCTTTCGTAGTAGCATGTGATGTCTGACTGTTCTGATATTGACCCAATACAGCTACGCTTTTTGATAATAAGGCTTAAAGCTGTGCATACTGCATAAGCTTATAAATGGCGCTACATTTCTCCAGATTCGATAGAGCTCATTTGTAATAATGTAATGTGCAATTTTTATTTGAAAAGTTTGCATTGCGTGTGCTAGTGGTGCCTGCTATAAGTATGTATGTTTTACCTCTAGTCTTATGGATCTACTTGGCGGGGAGCAATACGACATTATTTTCTTTACGACCTAATTAATACACATTACACTTTATTACTTGAAAACGTACGAATTTCTTCGGATAGTTAAATGATTAACATTTAACTATAAGCAATATCTTTCATGTCTATCAGTCTTTCTGTCAATGTTCATATTATATGTCCCTATAGCGAACCATTTATTTTAGTATGCTTCATTGGAAACTCGACATTGATCGGGGGGCACGGAGTGCCCCCGCCAAGTCGAGCAAAAAAGGGCACGACAGTACCATCCTTTTCTCGAAGCGATTCAGAGCATTTTCCACCCCCCCATAACTTCGTTATGGATAAAGCTAGAAGCCTGAATTTTCAGTGACTAAAAGAACATAATAAAAATAGGCATATTTCCAAATTACATTCAATTTGAACCTGTAGTTTAAGAACTGTTGCAGATCAAAATTCGTTAATATCGTCACTCACACACTCACTCACTCACCGATCATCAAAATTCTAAGGTACTTCTAGCAGACATAGGAGCTTCAAATTTTGAACACAATTAGTGTTTAGCCTATAACGGAAGGAAAAACTCAAACATCATGCAATTTCAATCCTGTTTTCGAGATATACAAACTGCATAAGTAACTTTGTATTCCTATACAAATAGATATGCGACATATGGGATTACAAAGTTATTTTTGCAGTTCATACATATCATTTTTCGTCACTTAAACTACCCAAATGTATAGCAGGGTAAATAGTGGATATACTGTAAGTGTTAGCGACGACTAAAATGTAATTATCAATATTGTAAAGAGTTTTAAGAAATAATATATTTAATATATAAATTAAAACTTATATGTATAAAAGATCTTAAATATAAAAAAAATATACAAGTAATCGAACACTCGTGTGTTCCGTAGCGAGAGTCGCCCGGGGGAATTCGGGTGGTATCCGTAATAGGATTTCCCAACTATAAAAAAAAAGTACAGAGCCCTCGGAGCGTTAGTTTGTCTTCTACTTGACTAATACATACAATATGTATTTATCAATATTTAGTTTAGTCATGTTAAAAAAACACAGGAATAACTAATATATTATTTTATTAACTTAAATATCCAACTTAAAATATATCTTTCTCAGAGTTCCGTTTGTTATCACTAAGTATTTAATTTGTTAGTCAATTTCTCCACTTTAACGACGTCAAGGAACGCTAGAAGGTTTAGGTATTTTTTTAAATAATAGGTCACAATAAAATAGCACATA